TGATGTCTTAACTGGTGGAAAGGAAGACCCTTAGCTGGGTGAAATTCTGCACATAATCTAAGCAGGAGAGCAATCAGAAAGTCACTAGATGGCATTAACGAGAGTAAATAGAGGTGTTCTGAAACTAATGGCATCCGAAATAATTTCTCTCTTTTGCATAAAAGTTCAAGGAAAAATACGTTGTTGGAGTTGGGAAGTTAGGAAGTTGCTTATTCATTCCTCTTTTTGGGCCATGCGGAAGACGAGATGTCTCCACTGTAGAGACCTAGAGGGAAAGTAGTAGCCTCAGAGCAGAAAAGAGATGGAGACAGTGCTCTGTGAGAAAAATAGGGGCATAGGGACACATCTTTAAAAGAGAATAAATTTTCCTCATAGTACAACAACATGGGTTTGACAAAGCCATCAGGCTGAGAACCGAACCAGGGATAGGACATGGATGGACAAGAGTGTGAGAGTGTGAGAAAGATGACTGCACATGCTTCCACAGGGGCTCGAGGGAATAGGGACTGGTCGATGAGGAGTAGACAGGAGAGGTGGACACTGAATTAATATGCACACGATTTCTGTGAGGAATTGTACTGAGTTCCATTATCTAACCTGCCTCCTCTTTCCTTTGTTTCTTTCATGAAGTAATTAGGCAGCTGGAACCATTATATGATGTAGCAAAGGAGGAAAAGGGGAAAGTGGAGACAGAAGCAAAAAAGAAAGACAGGAATTTCCTTTACTGACCTCTTTCTTGGCAGTTTAGCTTCACAAGTTCCACATGGCACCCTAGTGTCTGACACATATCACATCAGATAGGTATGGAACTGCTCGTCACAGACTGCAGTAATGTAATGCTTTCTGATTCATTTAAGTTAATCAGATTAGTAGAAAGGCTGTTATGACACATAAGATAAATATTTACTTTGCATTATCTTCCTTTCCTTCTTCAGTGATGTTTTGAGTTGTGTCTCTGGATGAGAATTTGAAGCCTGTTGAGGAAACGGTAAGTTATAGTTGGAAAGATGTAGGTATTTATGCACAGTCTTGCTTCTCGTGTCTTAAAATTAATCCATGAAACTAAGG